CTAAAAATTTCTCTGTTAATAAATTTAATATGATTTTATCGATTTGCAGTCACAATCAAGAACAAGCACCTTTCCAGATAGTTAAATTCTCAAGAGTCCACATGAAATCTTTGGCGTAAATTTTGGGCACAGCTAGAAATTCGTTATCCGAAAGAATTTCAGTCCGCCAAATTACCTTACTGCCACCTGATGGAACAAACATGCGGAAGAAGAGATGCAAATTCAAGCAGCGAGCAGCAGCTGACGGAGCCATTTTCTCCCAATCTCCGAATTTAAATTAAAACGCATCGCTATCTATTAAATTAAATTAAACAAGGTAACATTCGTGTCCCACGTTTAATAGGTAACACGATACGATGAAATTATCGGTGTAGTACAGTTTCCACAGCAAATGTTAATTTTTAATTTAAATTAATGTAAAGTAATTCAGATAAACTGAATGAATTTAATGAAAAATGTTTAGAATTTAGAATGTCCTAAGAGAATTCCAATAATAAGAATTGACATACGTGCTAAAATAATCCTAATAAATACTTTTGGTATTAAAACCAACTTGTGCTTGAATAGGATGTTCCGTCGTGTTCTTTCTTTGACCACTCACTTAAATTTGGAATGCGTTTGGCGCTAAACTATCTTGATCTTGGGGGAGTGCAATAAATTCTTTTCTTTCACCACCCATTTACATTTCCCATAGAGAGAGATACAATGTAGACGTACCACCTAGTGGCGCACCCTAGGGAAAGTTATATACGTCTAAATGGTCTACAGTTATTGGCATGAGCTCTCGCTGCTATCCTAACAGTCGTCCGGTTGGCCTGCGTGTATTGAAGGGGAAATACTGGTGGCTTGTCCCAATAAAAAATAACTCATCTAATGAACATCTACATCGCATTGGGTTTTTTGTGGAACCAAACTGCATTCTTTGTGATTTGGCAGAACTAACGAACCGAGCTCATTTCCATCCTTGCTTTATACTTCATGGACTGCGAGATACTGGCAAACTGGAGAACTCTTAAGGCAATGACTTCGGTCAACTTTGTTGAACTCTTTTGTGTGCATTTTCTTATTTATTTTATATTTTTCAAATTTTTGTGCTGCCTTGCCTTTGGAAATAATAAAAAAAAAACATATACCGAATGAGTGTCTGAGGTATATTAAGGGCTGGCTTACATTGCATCCTAAACTCTCATGTCATAGAACGCCAGGTAATCAGAAGTTTGAACACATAGAGAATTAACGTAACCATTGACTGGTACTCTATACTGAACTGGTGTTTTCTGAAATTCTAGTAACCGATAAGAACTATTGAAGGGAACTATTCAGTTAAGAACTATCATTGTTAAGAACTAGCATTGTTAAGAACTATCATTGTTAAGAACTATATGTGCAGTTGTTGCATGGCTGTAGGCCTTAAAAGAAGCGTCATGTTTCTTCATTTTGTTAAGTTAATCCCTAGACATCGCATCCCCTTCCTATAGAAGTAAAGATGAGGCACGCGTTTTGAAAGCTACGGTCTGAGTCAATTCCTACTTTTTTTTCCCTCTATTGCAGAAAGTCCTTTATAAATAATTTTCATTCAGTTTTTAAGTTTATGTGGCGCCATCTATTGGTAGATATATGCAACTTAAATCTAAAAAAAAAAATTAATTAATAAAATTTAATGAATGAATAAGTATTTAAAAAACTGTATTAACATGAAGTGTTATCCACTGCTGGTTAAAAAAAATTGTATTTGAACTTGAGTGGATGAATAAAAAGTATTTTATAAACGATTGAAAATTTGAACAAGATATATATAGGGAGAGTGTGAGCTAATAGAAGGAATTGAGAAAAAGGTTCATTCAATGTAAAATATAACAAATATACTGTTGGACGGGATCCTGACAAAAAAGATATTGATACTATAAGGTGGAAAGAAGACATTTAGGATTATCATAATAATTTACATCGTAATGACTATTTATCCATCCGGTACTCGTTTGAACTAGACAGAAGATCTCATTAATCTAGTCCACCGCAAAATTGCATATATCAACCCTTTCATTTCAGAATTCGTAATTAATGGCGGAGATATACTGACGCTTTGTCCCTCATCAAAAAGACATTCGGTCTATCAGAGTCAGAAAGAAAAGAAGCTACTTTGTCGCAATCTCAGCTATTTGCATAGATGGGTTAATTAATTAAATTTAATGAATGAATTAATGTTTGGAAAAACTGTATTAACATCCAGCGTCATCCACTGCAAGTTCAAAAAAATGTATTTGAACGTGAGTGGATGAATAAAAAGTATCTTATGAGTGATTAAAAATTTGAACGAGATGTATATAGGGAGAGTGTGAGCTAATGGAAGGAATTGGAAAAACCGTTGAAGAATACTGCACCTGCAATTGAAGAAATGTTCCCAAAACTCAGTGAACCACGGATTTCGAGTGTTGTTATGCACGGACAGGGATTGGAAGTAGGCGTCGAATCCCCTGACAGATCTGGCACGGGGCTGCACCGACACGGTCCCCTCTACCTGGTCCTCGTTCCCGTCGAACACCAGGGAGCGGGCGCTCCACCCGTCGCTCCCGATCCACGTGAAGAGCCCCGTGCAGTTGTTGCGACGCACGGCTCGCATCACGCCCGCCACCTCCTGGTCGGAACCGAAGATGATGACGCCTGTAAAAGAGCACATACATTAAACCCATGAAAACTGTATAAGTGTAATAATTAGTTTGCAAATTTACAGATTGATGGATGTCGTAATTAAATGCTTATGTACATGGTTTTGATATTATACAGTATAAACCAATCTATGTTATCTTGAATTTATTAATGTATTTTTTTGTTGTTCTAATGCAGCTGGCAAACACTTAGACAGCTTGATCTTGGATGCCTTAAGGCAAGCGCTGCACAGACGTTACTCACTTTGCACTACCCAGGGGGCGCGTGCAACTTGATAGCAAGCCACGGACGCGATGTAACAATGCCCCCGCAACGCTCTACGATCCTATTAGGACCGGGGCCTACGGTTTAAAGTGGATTCCGAACCACTACACACATCCATGGCACCGCCGGGACTCGAACCCGAAACCTGTGGTACCGAGCGCCAGAGCGCTACAAACATCTATGGCACCCCTCGAGACCGACACCTGTGGCACCGAGCGACAAAGAGTCTACAAGACGTCCAGTCGACTAGCACTCTACCATTCTGGCGGCCTCATCTCTTAATGTTATGAGTTTATTTCAAATACTGCACAAATTGCATTATGTACTTATGCAATTTACGAACGTACTCATCAAAAGCACTGCCGGGACTAGAACCCTGTGGTACCGAGCGCCAGAGCGCTAAGCACTCGCCTTTATTTGCTTCTTTTATCCACCTCATACCATTTATTAATCTTTGTCAATTATATATTATTTAATATATTTATAATCGGAACATATTTATTATTTTTGTAATAACAGTTATTTTCTATGAGATTGATTCATATATAGTTAAATCTTAATAAATAATTAAAATTTTTATGTGGTTCTAATTGTAGAACCTTTCATTTAGCGTATCCTAGTTTAAACAACTGATTACTATTTAATGTACAAGCACTGGAGGATGAGAAAAAATTCCAGATATGCATTATTATTAGTATGTCGCAAACGACATAAAACTTTTTTTTTCCTTGTAGGAGCAAGATTGTTCTGGAGAGATCCGCTGACGGATAGGGTTAAGAGAATGATGGATAACAAACGGTGTTATGGCTGTTTGTTATTGAAGGAATCCCTCAAACTTTGACACTTATTGGTGGGAAAACATGACAAGATGGATATGAACAATGTAATTTCCCCCGGACAGAAGGAATTCTTTCGTCGACACTTAACCGCTGATCGATTGAAAAATCCATTTGAAGAGTATATTTTTGGCACAAAGGAGAGCCCGGACATTTGAGTTTGATGGATGAGCATGTTGTTTTTGAAGCGTTTGCTATCACCTTCGTGAATCACTCCTTTGGATTAAGATACTAATCGGTGGACTCGATTTTTAGTTGTAGGCAGGAGTTTCTTGGTGGCTGGCTCATTCGGTTCAAAACTCGAAAGGTGTAACTTAATCAAAAGCCGTGTCTATGTCGAAGAAGAGAATTTTTTTTTGTCCTAATGCAGCTGGCAAACACTTGGACTTGGATGCCTTAAGGCAAGCGCTGCACAGACGTTACTCACTTTGCATTACCTAGGGGGTGTAACTTGAAGATATGCCACGGACGCGGAGTAACAATGCCCCCGCAACGCTCTACGACCCTATTAGGCCCGGTACCTACGATTTAAAGTGGATTCCGAACCACTACAAACACCCATGGCACCGCCGGGACTCGAGCCCGAACCTGTGGTACCGAGCGCCAAGCGCTAGCCACTCGGCCATTCAGGCCCAATTTGTTTAATATAACTATGCAATAAAATGTGCATTATCAAAATATGCGCTATTCGTTAATTTTTCATTGTTAAATAATAAATTTTTAAATACTAAATACAAACAAAGGTAAAAACTTTTGAAAAAACTGCATTAATGTATGACATTATTTAGGCAAAGGATACATTTCTATAGGACATTTTTTAATAAAAAAAAAGTATAAAGCTAATTTGGAAGTTTTAATTATTGTACTTTTTATTACTTAATTTAATAGACATCGGCACAGGTTGTGTTCGCAAATCATAAAATAAAGATATTATTATTATGGCTTTTGTTAATAATAGCTTTGTTGTTTAAAATTTAATTAATTATAAATCAAATCGATGTATCAAATATTCAAAATAAAAATCAGTGATTTTAACATACATAACATTGAAAGTATTCAAGTTATTAAAATGTGTCTACTTTTACATGATCTTTTTTACTATCGCGTGAACAATATACATGAATACGATATGAAATGTTCATAACATCATTATTTTTGTAGCTATAAGATGCATGGATTGCAAATCTACACAATGTATATTAAAATATTACACATCTATATTTCTTCAAAGCCAACGGCCATACCATGCTGAATATACCGGTTCTCGTTAGATCACCGAAGTCAAGCATCATTGGGCGTGGTCAGTACTTGGGTGGGTGACCACCTGGGAACACCGCGTGCCGCTGGCATTCACACATTTGGGACCTGAATGGCCGAGTGTCTAACGCTCTGGCACTCGGTGCCCACAGGTTTCGGGTTCGAATCCCGGCGGTGTCATGGATGTTTGTAGTGGTTCGGAATCCATTTTAAGCCGTAGGTCCCGGTCTCCTATGACTGTAAGAGCATCGCGGAGCTAAAGTCAGACTTCTACCTACGGGTGCTCCATCACAACAGAAGCTGCTTCCTTCCCCTTCAATCAGGAGTACGTATGGGCTCGTGGGCTTGGCCATCCAAGTGGGATAAGAAACAACAACATATTCATTCATACATTATTTGCATGAACTGCAACCTACAGTATCTCAGTACGAAACCCGGCAAGCAAAGCTGTTCTATAAGCTCCCTTTTAAACTTTTCTCTTTTTTCCACACCTTACCCTTGTACTTAGTGCTACATAGACCCTTACCTGTTAGAAAGATAATGGCTGAATATCGATGGTCCTCATGTGTACCACAAAGAGACCACTGGCTGGTGATTAGGAGAGGGGGGTGAGGACAGAGCTTACCAGGATGAATTTTAAGAGTCATTTAATCATTAATAAAAAACCCCAGAAATCTATCACCTGTCACGCCCATTTTCACAATCACCATCGAATATCCTCGTTTCTGAAAGCAGTGGCAACAACAATGCCACTAACGGATTCAAACTTCAGCCCTCCTGAAGGCTAGCAACACACGTTGCCACTGGGCTAGTAATGCAGCAGGCAAATAGAGGGATGTCGCCATAAGGGCTGCACCGATGTTACTCACTTTGCATTACCCAGGGGGCCGTGTAACTTGATGGTAAGCCACGGACGCGGAGTAACAATGCCCCCGCAACGCTCTACGTTCCTCTTAGGACCGGGACCTACGGCTTAAAGTGGATTCCGAAAAACTACAAACACCCATGGTAAATCCGGTATTTAAATTCCCGATGCCTGAGGTACCGAACGCCAGCCATTCGGCCATCAGGCCCCCACTTAGTAAGTAGTACTTTGTAATTACCACTTGGCTAGTAGTAAACATCCTTGCCCCGGAAACGGGCAAGATAAATCTGTAGGCCGGTAGTAGGCGTAGAGAAGAAAAGATCCAACCCTCTCCGAAGATTTTTGCTAAAAAATTATAAAGGACAAAATATGTTTTTCTAAGTTATACTGTATCTGTTATGAACTTGCCCTACTAGGACTAGTGACTTAGATCAAAATGCCCAGTTGACAACAACAGTTTCACAAACAAAAAAACAACAAAACAAGCAACAACAGCACAACGAAAACAACAACAGCACATCCAAAAACAATTCCGTAACAATGCTTGTTTCACTAAACTGTATTTGTAAAACGATAACACATTTCAGCTCTTTATTTGTCTTCTCTCGGAATACGATGCTAATTTGTTTGTTAAAAGACGTTAAAATGTCTTCCGATAAGAAAAATGCACTTGAAATTCCATCTTAATGAAGCCGTGTGTTTCCATACGCTGCTCGCCGAATACAAGAAAAAAAAAAAGAAGAAATTTGCATTCGAATCCGCAATGGGTCTTTTAGAAACGAGATTTGTTATGCTTCCCATTCTAAACCGTGTTCTGTAACGACAATTTCCATCCATCTTACAGGAGAAGGAAACGATATTTTAGCATTTATCTGAGTGCAGTGGAAAATACAAATGAGGCAAATGTGTACCATTCTACAGAAATAAAGCTGCCATTGTGTGAATAGATGCTGATTCAAAGTGATAAATATTTGCGTTTTACATTATACTAAACTTAACTCTATGTCTTATATCGTTATTCATGTCTTGAGAATATTTCTTCCTATTGAATTACGTATTAATTTTATTATAGGAATTTCAATTTGATTACTTTTGCTTTGAATAGAGGCTGATTCAAAGTATTTGAATTTTACATTATTTTAAGCTTACCTATATCGTTATTCATGTCATCTGAGTATTTCTTCCTATTGAATTAAATGTAATTTTGTTATCGGAATTTAAATTTGATTAATTTTTTAAAAATTTTGCATTGGAAATTTACTTTCTTTTCTTAGTAGTTCGATGGGATAATACAGAATGATTCAACCATCTGTTTTCTTGCTGTTGCTGTTTCTTATTCCACGTGGTAGACATCTCGACCAAGGCCACGAACCCGTATGGATTCAAGGTGGAAGGGAAAGGGGGCAACTTGTGTTGTGATGGATCATCCGTAGCTAGAAGTCCGAGTTGGCTCCGTGACGCTCTTGCAGTTATATGAGACCGGGACCTAACATTTTAAGGGATTCCAAACCACTATAAACATCCATGCCACCTCTGGGATTGAAACCTGAAGCATGTGTTATCCAAGGCCAGAGCGCTGGCCAATTGGCCATTCAGGTCGCCGTAACATGGTCGGTAGAAAAGTTCCAACCCTTTTGGGAGGTGTTTGCTCAAAATTACAATGGCAAAATATAGTTGTCTAAGTATTACTATACCTGCTATATACTCGCCTTTCTAGAGACGACTGTATAACAGATATAATATTACTTAGTGCTTTTCGCCTTTCTAGAGGCGAGTGAATTAGATCATACTGCATATTGTGTCACCAAATTATATTTCTATATCATTACACATTTAAATCCTTTATTCTGGAAACACGATGCTAATTTGTTTGTTAAAATATGTTAAAATGTCTTCTAAAATGAAAAATGCACTTAAAATTCCAAGTTAATGAAGCCACCATCACAATGCTCTACGATCCTATTTAACCGGAACCTACGGCTTCAAGTAGATGCCGAACCACTACAAACAGCCATGGTATCGCCAGGACTTGAACTCGAAACCTGTGTTGCGAGTGCCAGAGCGCTAGCCACTCGACCATCAGGCCTCCTTGATTAAAATTGTAATGGTAAATATATGGTTGTCTAAGTAAAACTGTATCTGTTATACACTTGCCTTTCTAGCGGCCAGTGATTTAGGACAAAATGCCCAGCTTCGAAAGCAACAGCAAGACAATTCCGTAACAATGCCTTTTTTACAGCAATTGCTTCACCAAGTTGTATTTGCAAACCATTACACATTTAAATCCTGTATTCTCGAAACCGATGCTAATTTGTTTGTTAAAACATGTTAAATGTCTTCCGATAAGAAAAAATGCACTTAAAATTCTACTTAATGAAGCCAATGTGTTTTCATACGGTGCTCGCCGAATACAAGAAAAAGAAGAAGAAATTTGCATTCTAATCCGCAGTGGGTCTATTAGAAACGAGATTTGTTATGCTTCTCATTCTAAATCGTGTTCTGTAACAGCAATTTGTATCCATCTTATAGGAGAGGGGAAACGATATTTTAGCATTTATCTGAGCGCAGTGGAAAATACAAATGAGGCTTATGTGTACCCATTCTACGGAAATAAAGCTGCCATTGTGTGAATAGATGCTGATTCAAAGTGATAAATATTTGCGTTTTACATTATACTAAACTTAACTCTATGTCTTATATCGTTATTCATGTCTTGAGAATATTTCTTCCTTTTGAATTACGTATTAATTTTATTATAGGAATTTCAATTTGATTACTTTTGCTTTGAATAGAGGCTGATTCAAAGTATTTGAATTTTACATTATTTTAAGCTTACCTATATCGTTATTCATGTCATCTGAGTATTTCTTCCTATTGAATTAAATGTAATTTTGTTATCGGAATTTAAATTTTATTATTTTTTTTTTAATTCTGCATTGGAAATTTGCTTCCTTTTCTTAGTAGTTCGATGTGCTAATACAGAATTATTCAACCATCAGTTTTCCTACTGTTGTTGTTTCTTATCTTCATCTCGACAAAGCCCTCGAACCCGTATGGACTGAAGGTTGAAGGGAAAGGGGGCAGCTTGTGTTGTGATGGGGCACCCGTAGTTCGAAGTCCTACTTGCTTTCGTGATGCTCTACAGCCATATAAGACCGGGACCTAAAACTTAAAGTTGATTCTGAACCACTACAAACATCCATGCCACCTCTGGGATTGAAATCTGAAGCATGTGTTATCAAAGGCCAGAGCGCTAGCCAATTGGCTATTCAGGCCATCGTAATAGGGGTCGAGTAGAAAAGTTTCAACTCTATCAGGAGGTGTTTGCTCAAAATTATAATGGCGAAATATGATTGTCTAAGTAATACTATACCTGTTCTATACTCGCCTTTCTAGAGACGACTGTATAACAGATATAATATTTCTCAGTGCGTTTCGCCTTTCTAGAGGAGAGTGACTTTGCTCAGTGAGTACTCTTCTTTATAAAACTGCATATCTGCAAAACAAATATGAAACAATGCCTTTTTTACAGCTATTGCTTCACCAAGTTGTGTTTGTAAACCATTACACATTTAAATCCTGTATTCACGATACGCGATGCTAACTTTTTGTTAAGAGATGTTAAATATCTTCCGACAAGAAAAATGTACTTGAAATTCAAACTTAATGAAGCCGTGTGCTTCTATACGATGCCCGCCGAATACAAGAAAAAAAGGAGAAGAAATTTGCATTCGAATCCGCAATGGTTCTTTTAGAAATGAGATTTGTTATGCTTCCCGTTCTGAATCGTGTTCTGTAAGGGCAATTTTCATCCATCTTATAGGAGAGGGAAACGATATTTTATCATTTATCTGAGTGCAGTATAAAATGCAAATGATGCTGATGTGTACCATCCTACAGAAATAAAGCTGCCATTGTGTGAATAGATGTTGATTCAAAGTATTTGGGTTTTACATTATTCTAAGCTTATATTCTAATAGCTATTGTTCTAATTCTTATATCTTTATCCATGTCTTGAATTAAGTATTAATTTTGTTATCGCAATTTAAACTTGATTACTTGTTATTAATTTTGCTTTGAAAATGCGCGCTTCCTTTTCTTATTAGTTCCATATGATAATAGAGTATAATTCCACAGCTAGTTTTCTTATTGTTATTTTTACTTACCTCACTTGATAGACATCTAGAGCAAAGTTGGCCAACCCGCGGCCGGCAATTTAATGTG